TGAGAAATGGCATGAAAGTAATTTTTTTGAATGAAAACTTGTCGCTTTGTGCAATGTATTCATTGACCGTATCACGTAATGCGATAATATTATCCAATATGAATTCATCACCATAACCAAAGTGAGGAATTTGAAGAGAGCGCGTCATAGACTTGAACATAGATTTTTGAATAATTGACAAGGGTGTAATTTCATTTTCAGATGTGGTAGAAACTTGAGATGGTGACGGTATGTTAGCTACAAATTGAGCACCAATGTCAACAAAATAGACTAAATGTTCAAAAAAAAAAAAAGAAAGTTTTTAATAGGTAAAATAATTACGCTTCGCAGCAGATTGAGTCTTTTTGGCAACGTAGTTCATCACATCGTCCTTTGTGACGCGAGCACCTTTCCCAGTACCTTTGATTTCAGAAATATCAACTTTGTATTCTCTCGCGATACGCCGAACAGCAGGTGTCGCCAAGGATAAAACTTTATCATTTACAGAAAATTCATTCGTTTTAGGTTCTGACTGCTGAGTTATTGCGGAGGTGATGTTTTTATCAGGTACCGGTTCTTCTTGTTCTTCAGAGGCGCTTTCAGTTTCTATATTAACTATTGGCTTTCCAACTTTAGCCATTTCCCCAACTTGATAGTGCAATTCCTTGATAATGCCAGAATAACGAGATGTAATTTCTACAGTAGCCTTATCGGATTGCACCTCACAAATTTTTTCAAATTCATTAATTTGATCACCTGGCTTAACAAACCTTAATGAAGATAGATTCAAAACTTATTCCACTTTACCAACGAATCAGATGAGCAATTAAATGTACTAACCATTGTACGATTTCACATTCCTTTATTCCTTCACCAATATCAGCGAGCAAATAGGGAACAATTGCGTTACGTAGATAAGAAGTATGGAATTCACGAATGCGAATATCTGTTATTTTTGTCGAAAAAGAAGTAAAGCATGGCTAATTTAAGAGTTGTATAATTGATTAGTATCCAATTTTCTCGTGTTTTTGCACTCTAACTGGAAAATCATATATTGCAGTAAGTATCGAATACATATATTCTAATTACTAAACATAATATAACCATTTTTCAAAACCCTTAAACGAGCTAAATGATTAATCAGGCTTACCACCATGCTACTTGGTCTTTTATAGTTTGATAATGATCGTAGGCATTT